GCGGAAGTCAATGGGGATCATCAGATCATCATCTCACTTGTTGGATGGAAAATCAAAGACATGAAAAATGCAGCAAAGATTGCTGCGGACCAACCAAAAAACTTCGGTGCGAGCCAACCAAAATGGTGGCCTTGCGATCACAATCAGAAATTCAATCCATGCTATGTTGACAGCAAAGAAATGAGAACTGAAGCCACTCAACTCACAACATAGATTTGAAGCCATCCAATTTGACAAGAAAACCCCATTGTGTTTCGCACATGCTGTGATTGTCTCAGGCTCTGATCTACTCCGGTCATATTTGTTCCACCCCCCAGAAACCATGGTGGATGTAGAGCATTAAATCACATGGGACCCTACAATGGGGTGTTTAATATGATCGGGGGACAATATTTGTCACTAGTTTGGGGCTATATCATCGGATGGGGCAAAGATGTGGTGCTTTTATGGACCCACAACAAACTGGTCACCTGGTCATTCTTAGCAGCATGTTTCTATCTTTTTGGTGAGTTTCACCCACATTCAGATGGTCCGTGACATGTACCGTGTCTATATATATATAATATATGTATAGTGTGCAAGTACATAACATAACTGTATATTATATCATTAGATTAGATATGATTAGATATGAACTGTGTATTATCTATGAATCTATGACAATCCCCATGTACAGCTCTACACCATTCAGCCTGATCCTGCTTTTGCAACGAAGGCGTTCCAAATGCCGCCGCTAGAAACGCCACCCTGCTTCGACATCTGGAATTCAACCCCCACATCTTCTGGGCAAATCGCAATGGGTCACCAACCTAAAATGTGCTGTTCTTCAGATAATTCCACCCTACCAAGATCTTCCAATCATCATTATACAAGGATGTCGGCCCCAAACCTACTGGTTGATTGAGGTCGGAGTTGACATACTCCAAAAATCGGTCTAGAATCATCCCCCTTAAACCAGTTGGGTAATATTTGGTTAATATAGCCTCACCACTACGGTACACCTTCATCTCTAGGCAATTTCTCATCGTTTTTCTTGGTTAAGATGTTAAATTATGCTGTAATCATTTGAGTGATGTGAACCCATCCATTGGCCCACCATTTCTGGATGGATCCCATTTAAAAAAATGCTGGGAAAATCGTCGAAGCCGGAACCCACTAAAAAATACTTTCTTCGAGTGATCCTCACCCAGACACACTATTTTGACATAGTTTCTGACATACCATCTGGATATATATATATATTATGGCATATATATTCTGACATTCTATAATTTCTATATGACATTCTTTCTGGCATAAGCTCTGACATTTTTTGACATTCTATCTGGCATCTATTCTGACATTCTATCCAGCATCTTTTCAGCTATTCATTCTGGCATTTATTGTGTTCCCAGGCGCACTCCACAGCCTCCTGAGCTCACGATATGGCGGCCGGGTCCAGGGGTCCAGACCCACTCCACAGCATCCGGAGCTGGCGAAGAAGGAAGGACGAAAGGAGATGCACCTTTGTTAAAATCTAGAGACCCTCACCTGGGAACAACTGTATTTTTGTCACCAAATCATTGATACTCCCTGATCTTGGGCTGAGTTTCGAAGCCTTGAACATCGCAGCGTGGGAGAGCCTCTGCTTCACAGAGCTCTCTCGAGGCAGCGGTTCCACATTAACGCCCGGACGCGTTTCGCGGCAAAGGGACGACTCGGCAGTGATGAAGTGTTGCCAATTGGCGACCCCGAAGAAATTTAAAATTTTACATAACGGACTTGAAACGTATTGATGTCAGACATTCAGTTTGTATCAAATATAATCGTATATATGGACTTCAAACAAGTCTGTGTAATCCAAACTTGGGGTTTAAATGGAATCAAAACGTCAACTCAATAATGTATGCTGGTTGGCCATATTTCCCCCAGACACTGCAAGTGTAGGGTCAGTCTGGTATTTCCACAGCCGCGTTGGGATTATAAGTTCAATCAATGTCCCGGCAAACTCTCATTGCAGCTCTGGGTACAATAGAATAGATAGTATATTGGGTTTTGCAAAAATGGGGCACCCCATGGCACTGTTGGTTTCCGATGGTTTCCCCATTCAAAATGACTAATTGATCAACTTTAGAGGACTTGAATGGGTACCCCATACATGACTTGAAACATCGGCATCACTGCCGGATGTATTGCTAGTGGTGCAACGCACCTGATTGCTATGCTACAGACCACGGTGCGGTCACGCAGCTGGGTGCAAGTTTGGCAAAACTCCATGTCCTGAAATTAGAGAGTGATATTTCATGGGATAAGCACACTTAATTGTCATTGTATTCCGATATGTCTTCTTTTCTAATCGCTGTACCGCAAAAAAGCGTTGGTTTACCCCGGTACACATTATTAAACATGACTAAATAAGGTGGGATGTGTTGTGTTTTACATATTTCATGTGGATGAATTTCGCTTACCATGTCCAAAGCCTTCAAGGCTTCAAGGCAAGTGGTGGTTTGGCACCGCCTGTAGAAGGATGCAACAAAAATCAGCACTGTAAGGGATCCCGTATATGCTAAAACACCAATGCAAACCACCAGGGAACATTGATTTATGTTGTTTTGAAGGTTATCCGGTCACCCAGGAACAGCGCAAAAAAAAAAATATATATATATATATATGTCTTTTGAGGACCTCTAACAGCTGTATGACGAGGGGTAGGTCAAAATAAACAACCTTGGCCAGTGGCCGTCGAGAAGCTCATTCATACTTTGAGCTTGAACCTATTTACCAATGTATAGAAAAAATGAAGACTCACCGTGACTCACCAACATGTTTGGAGTGTTTGAGTGAGATACACATTTTGTTCAATGGATGGATTGAGGGCCTACCTAGTCACATGTGGTTGCATCCACCCGTGTGGCTGGCTAAGGGACCCTTTATTTTTTGCAGAAACCAGCAGCAAAATCCATCCCACCGACATACACCGACCCTAAAATTGGAGGCATGTAAAGACATGTAAAAAAATACAAGTAAAATAATTCAACCAGAATCTAGAACTATGCACCTCCGCGTGCCACATCGCTCACCTCTTTTCTACTCCAAAGCAGGGACCTCAAAACTCCAAGCAAGGGACTCATCGAAATCTTAGTACCACGTATATATATATATATACTTAATTTTTATGAATAATACATATATATATATATATACATACAAAATATGTATATGTATATTACTTATATCCCACTGGAACCCCCAACTGACCTTCATTTTTGCGTAGATCTCAACGGGGTGGGTGGTTGATCATCATCCAAGGTAGAATCGACCGAAGAAATGAGGGGATCGACTCCTCTATGAGTCGATCGTCAAGTGCGTTTTCGATCTTTTTTGGCCACAGAATGGGAATCTCACTGATTCTCATTCCGAAAAAACGTGAAAAAACGCTGTCTATTTTGAAACCGGCAACCAATGATTGGTTTTTGCCCTCCAGTAAACTGACCCTCCAAACTAACACTTCGACAGTTCGACCCTTAACATATTGAAAACAGATGAACATAGCTGAATTTTGATTGGAAACTTGTGGAAACCTCTTCACTACCTAAGTAGTGGAGCCCGTCCACAAATAATGATGAAGTCGAACTAATTACATAGGTATATCACCAACCAACCCATGGTAGCATGTAACTCTACGCAATAAAACTGAGAATGAAACAAACAACTGATTCAGGGAACACAGATGGTTGGCTACATAAAACCTCGGTGTATAGTGGCACATGTTGGTACGTACTGCAAAAAAATGATCCGCGCATCATTGGACGTGAACCAGTACCCATGTTTCTAGTGACTATGTCAAGTGCAACTACACAACCACAACATCAAAATGGGTTGGTAAATCATAAATATGCTCACAGGCCACTACCCTCTAGTAAACCAATAGAGCTATGGAAGCTGGCACATTAAAATTGAATTATTTACTTATTCGATCACCATGGCTATGTCAAATTACCCGAGGGTTGTATGAATATTAATAGTTTGATATTTACACTTAAGTGATCACCAATCACATTGATCAATCACACGGGTCACTGCTCTGATGTTCGCGCAAAAAAACATCTGGCGACCGAGTCCAGCAAAGAACCTGGCGGGTTGGATCGATGGCTGTTTGGAAATGGCCCACAAATGTCTGCCATCTCTCAGTTAAAGGGAATAGAATCCAGTTTCTCAAGACCATTCAAGTACGTATATTCAAGTAAATATTGTTTTAATAAATATAATTAAACAAATCCTTTATACTCTAGGCTCAATGCAGGGGCCACCTTTGTATACGTGTTTTTTTGCTGTGAATCTGAAACGCTTCTCCCTCTGCGAAGCAGTGCTCAAATCGTTCAGATGTCAATCTGAATCCTGGGTTTGGAAAATTGTTCATTTATACTTGATTTGCCTACTCAAAGAAGAGGTTTTTGATAGCAAATCTGGCTTGCAATTCAATTTCCTGATTGTGACGTCCTGAGGAGTGGAACAGTGGCAACAGTGGTTCCATCACAATTGTTTGGGTGAGATCAAACATTCTGGATCGCAATAAAAAAAGGACAACACATCATCTAAAAAACCATGAAGCTTTGATGGTTCCCTCCCCAATCTCGTTGGGTTGAAATCTCGTTTATTGATTGTTGCCAGAAATGGGGAGAAACACATTTAAGCTGGCAATGGAAACTCACCCGTAGATCCTCTATTTTTCCCAGTTAAGGTTTGAATTTTTAGTTGCCATGCTATTGTAAATTGCCAGGAGGGTCCCCTAGTTGGCAAATGCACCAAATGACCAATTTGTGTCGGTCCTTTGATTGTGAATTCAGTGTGGCTCAAATTTGTGACCCCCATTTGTGATGCTGCAGTTGCAAAGGGACCACGTTTGTGGGTCTTCAAGTACCTCATGTGAGCCAGACCACATCGCTGTGTTACCCTATGAACAACATTTAATATCATTCAATTACCCATTGTTTCATACCCACATGGATGTCCTTCCCGCCTCACACCAGCCGCGGGCTTCGGAGCTTTAACACCGGCCCGGCACGACGAGGCCTCGATGTCGCCAACATCAACGTTAACATCAATGCCATCAATGCCATCAATGGCCATGGTTGGTACCAAAAAGATGAAATGTGAAAGTCAAGCCGGGCCATCATCCCATTTTGGTTTGTCTGAAACTTTAGGGGAACGCCCAACTGATTAATCATCATTATCATCCCTATCAAAATATGGCGATAACTGGAGGGCAGGGGCCCCATTTGAAGCTATACACAGCCATTTTCAATGATATATAAGCTGCGTAATTGATCATCAAATAGGGCTACTGCGCACCGCTTGGTTAGTACAGTGGCTACTCCGCACGCTTTTTTGGTTGTCAGCAGTGGAGTCGGTTCCAACTTTCGGGGGTTGAAAAAATGACAGACTCTCCAAGTGAATCTGGGACATGGTGTTGAAAGCTGCTTAGCCTCCTACCTCCGATTTCAGGATAGATCAAAAATGTCAATGTCAAATTATGTGTTTTCAGGCTATTGAGATTCGTCGAGTGTTGAGAATGACCTAACAACAACTTCACTCTTCAAGCTTTGCATAATTTCTGAGTGTTGAATGTTTAGTTGAAAATTAGCCACAATTCGACTACTGCGATAAATCCCATGATGAACCATCCCTGCTTACCCAATCTTGCTATTTGGGTCTTCAACACCATACTCCCAAGAAAGCAGGGAGTGATTCTGATGTTTACCACAAACAACTTTGTGAAAATCATCGATGGCCTTAAATCCAATTGATGGCTTCAATGGCTTCTGGACAAAACCATGTCCAAATGAAGGCAGTTGGCTGTCAGCCCCACTATGTTGCTAGTCTACTTTGATGTGCACCCTAGTTAGTGAGTGTTTTATTATCATCCATATGTCACCCAGGCACCCATCAACAAAAAACTGCTGTTGAATAGAGTTATGATACCACTGACGATACCTGGGAGTCACATCCAAGTAGAACATTGAAAGATAAGGATACCAATCATTTCATATATACAGTTATCAACCAATGATGCAAGGGGGTCAGCTAATTTGGTTGGACTTTTCCTGAACCCACAGAAGTATATATAATTCATGGCTCCATATTTCCATCTCATATATATATATATCATATATGTCCATTTATGTCCATACATTTCAATCACAAACCCTATAGAAAGCCATGATTTCCACCTGCAGGCTTCGCACAAGCGCCGCTACACCGAAATTGAGCTCCTCACTTGCCCTTGTAGGAGCCCAGCCCCGGCCCCAGCCTGGACATTTGATGGTTTTCTCCAAGAAATCGAATGTTCTATATACATGTGATATAGATATCTTATTTTGTCATATTGTATTTGTTACATAGATATATCTTATGGATATATGATATAGATATGTGCTATTGATATATCATATAGATAAATGATATATATATATATCACATAGATATAAAATATGGATGTACTCTAGAATACATATGGCATATACGTGGTCAGACTACTCAAACACCATATAATTCCCACCCACGTCAAAAGGAAACAAGTACCCAGATACATCTACTGCTTGGTGGTTGACCTACCCCTCTGAAAAATATGAGTTCGTCAGTTGGGGTTACTAAGTACTATACTCAATATACCCTCTGGTAAATTAACATAGACCCTGGCAGATAGGGGTTGGAAGACTAGTTTCCATTAAAAATTTGCTATTTTCAGGGTCTATGTTTATTTACCAGAGGGTATGGGGAAAAAAAAAAACGTTCCAAACCACCAAGCAGTCTATATAGGAAGCAGTCAGTTGGGATGATGGTCCCGACTGGACCAAAAAACAAAACTGTTTTGGGTGAAACCACACCCAAAACGAGATGGCCACTTTCATGGGACACTCACAATCAGTTACTGTGTTTATTCTCTCTCCTTACCTTCTAAACAAACACAAATGTAACTGGGTATAACTGGGTACATTTGGTGTGTATATATATATATATATATGCAATCATTCACATATGTACATAAAAAATATCCGTATAAGTAGAATATATATATATATATATGAATATCATATCATAGTGTACATATATCACTGGATAAACTATGTAGCTATGGTCATCAACTTAACCACTTATCCACTGGAATGTACATCCACAGACGTGTTTAGGCCTAAAACCATCGCTGATGGGTTGAGGGGCCAGTGATCATACAAAAGGGTGATGTCTCATGGTAAAAATGGCGGTGATCATGGATCCATCATCATAAGTAGGCAAAAAAGCTGGGTGTTTCAGTGATTGGTGGGCAGGAACCACCCAAGGGCCGAAAAAAAAAACACACAGTCAATCGGGCATATCATCTGATTGCCAGATATTTTTACATGATTCGTATGGGTGTTGCTCAAACCTTGGGTAGCCATGGCTTGGATGATACCCCAAGGGCCCCTCATGACTTCGGAAGCCCCCCCCATTTGAATCTAAGAATGGCACCAACAAACTGCAGTACTCCCTACAATCATAAGATGTCGATTGAGGAGAGGGGATTATTTGCTCTTCATGTTGCAGTTGCTATCCTTACCCACATAGGTGAGCATTAAACTATAGGACGAAGACCCTGTAGAGTTTTTTCACAAAGCCGTCCTGGACTGCGATTGATCGAATATAGCAATTACATGTATTTTTTGCTGAAATCTGTGCCGACTTATGGCCAAGAAAATCCAAGAAATTCTATTCCATTAAAGCCTTCCTTTCAGCCTTTCAGCTGTCCTTGTACCAACGAAAAAAACAATGAACCCCACCTGGGAAGCTTTGGCACCTCTGGCCGTTGGAAGCCACCTGTGCCAAGATCTTCTCAGGGCTGGACCAAGGGCGTCCAAGGACTTTTGACCAATACCCAAGTGATGCAATGCTTCTTGCTGGTGAATGCTCGAATATGTTTCACTTCGCCAGTTTAGGGGTTGATCTATGATGATCTATGCCCCTCTTCCTCAATTCGACGATGTTTTTTGTTGAAGTCCCATGGTCCCATGCTCGACTCCGACCGCTGATTTCAACCGCCTACGAAGTCGCATTTCTCCTGTGTAAACCCATCTTTGCTGCTCAATTCCCATGGTCCCATGGTCCCATGCTCGACTCCGACCGCTGATTTCAACCGCCTACAGGTGGTGGATCATAGGCCGCCCGTTTGGCCGGGCCCATGACCAGTTCGGGCACAAAAAGATCCTGGTCCATGGAGTCCATGGAGTCCATGGGATGCAAATGGATGCAGCCAGGCATAGAAACCGCTTAAGAGAACAACTATAAGGTGGTGCCCCAGGTTGCAAAGTTGGTTTATAGCTAACATAATTAGGACTTATGGATTTTGATGGTCTATATTATGTATTTCGAACTAGTTCATGGGGTATATAGACCAAATTACACATTGGGGGCACCACTTTGTATACATTGGGGATGCAACCAATTAACATGGTGATCATGGTGGGAATGTTTATTGATTTGATGGGTTTGGGGGGAGATAACCAGCAAACATGGTGGATTTAATTCCAACCTATGGCCATGCATCAAGGGGAAAAATGGAAAACCTATTTACATTACTATATAAATGGGTGAATTCACGAACGGAAATAGAAGAGGTAACAACACATCAATAGTGAGGATACAATGGGATATAATGACCCCAATGGTTGTTGTTGTCGTTGTTGTCGTTGTTGTCGTTGTCGTTGTCGCTGTCGCTGTCGCTGTCGTTGTCGTTGCTGTTGTTGCTGTTGTTGCTGTTGTTGCTGTTGTTGCTGTTGTTGCTGTTGTTGCTGTTGTTGCTGTTGTTGCTGTTGTTGCTGTTGTTGCTGTTGTTGCTGTTGTTGCTGTTGTTGCTGTTGTTGCTGTTGTTGCTGTTGTTGTTGTTGTTGTAAGGTTTAACCATCAGCAAAGTCATCAGATCCTCCGTGCTTCCAGCAAAGAAAACTCGGAAAGTTAGTGGATTCGCAAAAAGATACTGATGGTGAAAGTACAAATATCTATCTATATTAGTTGTGTAATATATCAAAGACAACATATCATGTATTGCCGCAAACCGAACTGTGCTAAGTCATTACATATATATATATATATATCATTTTGCAATATAGTGTTTTTATCATTTATAAATATATATATATGTATATATCATACCATTTATCAAGTTATATTAAATTATCTTATATATGATGTTTATGCCAGCCGGGGGAAAACCGCGCCAGTAGTCGTGCACCTTTTTGAAACTGGGTCGGGGGGGTGGGGTGTGTTAACGTTCATGTTAACTTGCGTCACATGCACATGCTACGTCACGTCTTGGATTGGGGGGATGGGGTGTGCTAACGTTCATATTAACTTGCGTCACATGCACATGCTAGGTCACGTCTGGGTTTCCCCTTGCTGGCATCATAGTTGTAGGATGCGCACAGATGTTGATACAGATGTAGACAAGACCTTGTAACCTGTCGACACAAAGCTTCATGTTGTGATTTGCTTTTCATACAATCAGAGTGCTATGTTGCATGTGTCTTCTTCATTTAGCCTCAAGTGTTCCTGCAACCACTCCAAAAGCGTATTTTGTATAAAGAAACGACTTAGAAAAAAATATTTTGATTCACAGGTGGGGTCGATGCGATGTGGCGGCTGTCAAAATCGGCCATACCATGTAGTCTTGCGACCAGAGTCAACAGCCATGTGAACCCAAAACTGATGCGAAGCATCAGGGTGTGGCAATGGCGTTGGACGAACCCCACATCAAAAAACCTTTTGGAGGTCACTGGTCGCTCTTTGAAGAAGCGCATGGCGATGTGAGAGGAGGAAAACATCGCGCGCGTTTTCAAGAGCAAATTGCCTCTAAATTACAGGACATCATCAAAAATGCACTTCAAATTCCCGGGGATTTTTAAGCCTTTTTTTTGGAATGAATCAATAGTTTCGCTATGGCGAAAACAACAGTGTTTTTCAAGACGCTCACAACCGCTGGCGCGGTTTTTCCCCGGACGGGATGTTTATGATATCATATTGCATTTATCAATTTATAACATATTATAGTATTATTGTATTATATTAAACTTTATAATATAATATTTTATAATATAATATAATATTATATTATATTATACTATATTATATGTCATTATATTACATAACATTGTATATCATACTGTATTATATAATGTTATATTGTGTTATAGTATATCGTATTATACTTTGTGTTCTTGTATTGTCTTATACAACATCATACCATATCATATCATAGTTTGTCATATCATATCACATTCTGTTACGTTATATTGTTATATGAAATCATACTACATTGTATTATGTCATATACTATTATGTCATATAATATCACGTCATTCTATATAATGTAATATCATGATAATTTGGATACTAGCAGTAGCCACAACATTATCTAGTGTTGTGTTGCAACATATTGTGCTAATCTCCATATGTATATATATTGCATGATTTAATAGTATAACAGTATATCATATTGTAACAACTACGTGTGTATACATCATATCTTATATTCATATACATACATATGTATCTTCTTAATTAGCACTGCATATCGTAAACATATACGTCATAATTTACCCAGATATATGGCATATCGTATCTTCTTAATTAGCACTGCATCGTGGATCCGGTCACGTCCTCCTCTACGTGCCATGGATACTTCCCGGCAGAATCGATGCGATTCACCTGGACAAATTGGGGCCCCCAAACGACTCCAAACAAACGATAGAAGCATAGGAAAATAGTGATTTAACCAGCAAAAAATATGCAAACATGGGTTTAATGGGATTTATGGCTGATTATGATAGCAAAGTTGGTGCAAATAGGTACTTATAACTATAGTGTTCATGGGGTTCATGAACCAACAAACATCACCGGGGGGCACAACATTGTGAGAGATAAAGTTACCAAGATAATTCCTCCATACTCCTCCCGTGTGGCCATCATTGACCGTAAGTATACCGCAAGTTGGAGCAACCCTGACAAATTCCAAACAGAAAGATCCAACAAACGAAGAGTTTTACCCGTTCGGAAAGTGTCGGAATTTCACACTCCAACTGGCTGTCAAATGTGTGTAGTGAAATGCTCAACACATGTAGCAATTGACGGATGATGTGCTTATATCAAACAATCAGGCATGTTCAAACCGCCAAATTCACGAGCTGCAATGCTTGAAGAACACTTCTCAATCGACCTGGATTTTTTGTATAGGTTCTGATATCTTCTGCAATTTTCCCTTCCTCCCATCCCCCCCGAGTCCACCATTAGGCAGTTGCCCAAAGATCAGTCAACTCTGAGTTCCAACCTCCGATGCTGTAGCTGGAATCAAATGCCTGGCCGGAGCAAAACTTGTGGGCTACTGCTGGTGCAATATAGAGGAACATGTCCAATAGCTGGGGTGAAAAGTTCCCATCCTTTTGTTCCACTGGGGCACGTCTTTTTTCCTGCTATCCAAGTTGCTGCATGCGCAAGCAAATTTCTCTGCTAGAGTTGCTATAGATGGAGTGAAATCATGTGAAATCATCAAGTTTGGCCATATTTGACCAATTACCTGAATCTGGAACTTCTGAAATATAAACCCAGTATATCCAGTATGTTTAAAACGAGTTCCGTGTATGTACACAGTACATATATATATACACATCTAATAGTGACACCCGCTTCCTTGGAGGATCATCCCACTTAGTAATTCACTGGTTGATAAGCATATCTATAACCCTGTTATATATGGGATAATCCTCGGGGACTTAAACTTACTAACTAGGCTTATTAACCACTTATGATCCGTGGAATGATCCTCTAAGTACAGTCACCTGTTTTGCTAGATAGTTGGTTATATATCTATATCATATATATATACTGTATCCCATTAAATCGCCATTGTCATGAATGACAATTTGCTATATAGTTGTTGGTTATACATCACCATTTGCTATGTAGTTGGTAATCTCCCGTAAAAAAAAAAACATATGGCAGTGTGTCAAAACCTTGTACCCCTGGTGAACATAAAAATAGCTGGTAAATGGGTAAATGGATGTTCATCCCACTAAAAATTATATTAATAGGTATTGATTCATATCCATGTCATGCTTAACCTCCAAGGCGCCTCTGCCGCGAGCGACTCTTCAGTCCTTTGGGCCGCGTCTTCTTTCGCAGCTCTGCCAGGCGCACCTGGCACTGTCGGACTTCAGGCAGTGGTCAAGGAAAACCAGTGGGTACCATAAGAGAAGCATAGGAAAATGGTGATTTAACCAACAAAAATTGGGTTTCAATGGGATCATATAGGATCTATAAAAATCTGGTGCTTCGGCGCCCAACGTGGGCAAAAGAGATGAAAGTTTAGTCCATATACGTACGTTCCTACAGAATTATGAAGAAACGAAATTAACCATCCATGTATTTTATGGTTATTCCTGTTCAAAGCTACCATATATTAGTAACTATGTCGAAAGATGTGTAGGCATTCTATACATTATTGAAAGATCCCACTCTTAATCCAATGACTTGACCCATATATCCCATATCCTTGGGATTGGCTCCCAGTAATTTCATGGCTGACCTGAAAAAGATGTGGAAAACCCACTATGAATCAATGATCATTTTCCGAAACCATGGCTTTTCCACATCTATGTAAACTTATGTACCCTCTGGTAAACTAACAAAAAGCTATTGAAAATGGCCATTAATAGTGGATTTTCCCATGAAAAATGGTGATTTTCCATAGTTATGTTAAATTACCAGAGGGTAGGATATATAGCAAGTCACCAAAACCCCTTGAAATCATCGTTTCGGCTGGTGACTTTACCTTTCGAAAGAATCAATGAATCAACTGCGGGCTGTGCGACGCCTCTCGCGATTCATCCCCGACCGGTGCTCGCGCCCCCCAGGGTCGTTTGGCTTGTGGCGGCCTCGACAGCTGCATGGATCGGTATATCTACACATGTTGTGGATAGCTCTAGATAGCTCCAGTATTATGTAGATATAAATATATAACTCATTCGTGCAATACCTATAACATGTCTATATATATATGTGTATATATGTATACATACTTGCACAGCACATACAGAGAGACACTAAAAATCCTGCCAAAATAGTGAAAAAACAACTGTCCTATCTATCTTGGGGTAAAGATCATGTCTACATCATATCATTTGAATTTTGCATATGTCATTCACCCTCTTCACAAAAAACTCCCAAACTTGGAGCCTGGATCTCAGCCGCCGCACAGGCGAGGGACTCCGCACCTGGCTTGGCATTCTGATCCATGTTATGTCATTTTGACTCGGAACAAAATGACCGTTTTTCACCAAGAAAAAAAACAGTTGGGTTTGTTTGCTACCATCCAAATTCAAATTAAGATGTTTGAAAAAACAAACCATAGGGATTGGGAAGTTCAATGGGCCGGCTCATGTTTAGGGGACACTTCCTCCACAAACCCCAAGGATTTATCATTATTTGTCCGATAGAATCTAGCAAAACATGAAAGACACATGTGTTTTTTTCTTTTAACCTGTTACCGTGGTGATCCAAAACCAACAACTTCAAGGAGAGAATCACCCCAAACCTGGGTGTCTACAATTCATTAATCCAGTTGATGGGGGCTAACTTCCCATGTTTCTTGGTTTTGTTTAATTTGATAAAAATAAATTGATAAAAATAAAACAAAAGGTAGAGAAATCTCTGAGAAACAACAGATATGGATTTGTCTGAAAGTAGGCTACCTTGCAAAAGAACACGGCTTCATCATGTTTCCTATCAATATTGCCATAGATTTGGGTATATCCCATGTTCATACACATCCAAATATCATAATTAGTGGATTACATTTTCATCTTTTAGCCTTATCCAAATTATATCCCCATAAAACGGTTGCTGCACTCCATGTTCATCAACCTCCAAACTTTCAAACGTAAGAATGGTTGCTTCTATGGTTGTATATATAAAAATATATATATATATACACATTTTAATATACAAAATTACAAGTATCGTTAACTAATGTTGATTATCTCCATTACATATCCTCAGTATATTCCTGGGATATCATTCAAATTCCTTGTATAATATTATATAATCTATCTCCATTGATTCCTATTATACGTTTTATATTTATTATTTTTTTATAGTTACGTTGTATTATATATATATACATATACAGACACATACACTATCATTAATCATTTCCACTACATATTCACATTAAGTTTTGAGTGTATAACTATCCCGATTCAACTAAAATTCGACTTTTCCGTTATGAATCAAAATTTTCCCCACTACACAAATATCACAAACAATGAAGTTGTCCCTATCCCTGTCCCATGCTTCGTTGCTAAACCGGCCAGATCGCCTCCAGCCGAAGCTTGGGCGATACGGAACGGGACGGCGCCCAGTCCGAGGCCGGAGCTGGGCTCGGAGCAGCGGACCTTATTTTTAGCGCAGCGGATCTGGAAGGATGGGGATATACTTGGGATATGATAGGGATAAGGATAGCTATATAGATATTATATATATATATATATTATATTGTGTTGATATAGCTATCATAAATATAAGGGATATATATATATATGTGGGATATACATATGTTATTTAAGGGACATGATATATATATATATATTATTATGTTTGTATATAATATTATATATATATATATAACCAATCATGTTGATATGTGAACACCCTGAGCCGCGATTGGATTTCAAACATGGATCTAAAAGTGCTTTCTCCAAAATAAAAAAAAAAACCGTCGGATGATTGAAACCCCAGATAACATTGTTACTGAATCAAACATGGCAATGGAGAATCTTCAATTTATAGTTGTTTTTTTCCGACTAACATTCCTCCATATTTCTAGAAAGTGGATTTCCAATTGCCATGTTGGATTCTCATGGATTCTCATGGATTCGGAGGCTACTTAGCGGCTAGCTGTATCCCTCAACTTGGATTTGCTCAAAGAACCCCCTCGCCTTAAAATATGTCTAGATTCCCCAGTGGAATTCTCCATTGGGAAAACCACAAACATCATCGCAAATCCACACTATCGATGATTATTAATCATGGATTTCCCGGAGTTCGCCATATTTTAACCAGGAAACTCGTGTTTTGTATGGCTTAAGCGGCTTAAGTATGGTGTATCCATCGATTGATCCAGGAAACTCCAAATCTTCTCGACGTGGAGTGGGCATGGCATCAATCTTCATGGCCTCGCGGTGCCCGGTTTCCGTTGTCCATTGGGGGATGGTTTAGGGTTTTAATATGTTTACCACATTATATATAACAATAACTTATATAATTAAGACATAATAATAAAAAATATATATCTATCTATATTAAGTTATGTTATGTTATGTTATTCATATGTTATATAAATATATCATGTATATGATATGTTATGTTATGTATATACGCTACCAGTAGGACATACGACCAAAATAATCCCTGGCTTGTCCAAACCTTCGGAACTTCGCCAAAACTGCTATGTTGAAATAAGAAAGCGATAATAATGATTGGCCAGTGGATTTTGTGGGTATTCCCATGGTTCTTATGGCAGCCCAACATCGATTACGGATATGTTAAATATGAACCAATGGACTCACAAAATGTGCCTTTCTAATGTCTTGATCGAAAGTTTGAGGGTCAATGGTTTGAGCTGTGGGATTGGTAGATCGTGAGGAAATTTGGAAAATGCAAGGAAAAGTAACAGTACGTGTAGCTACAATACATTACTGAGGATTCAACCCATGACCGACACTGCAAAACAACTTCAAGGTATTTCTCTTGCAGTACAGAGGAAACGAATCGCCGCAGTATGGTGATATCCATGTTTGAGGAACACCCTATATACCCTCTGGTGAACTAACATAGCAATGGAAAATCACCATTTTTAATGGGAAAACCACTATAAATGGCCATTTTCAATTGCTATGTTAGTTCACCAAAGGGTAATTTCTATGGCATTAGGAAGCACCCGATTTTTCGGGACTATTCTGCAGAGTCCCCGAAAAACACTTTCTGCCATTGGGGATCATAGTCATCATCATCCTAGGGATGGAAATGAACATTGAACCCCAGCCAGTGTATATAATATCCCGGGAAAATATCCTTCAGACTCCAGACCATAAATTCTTGATGCCCCTTCCAAACACTGAGAATTGAATAGAAATGCAGAACCTATGATCCAACAAGCGACTCATCGGACGTCGTTGAACATCAAATTATGCATTTGGACATGTACCCAAACATCCCCAAACAAATTGTTCGGCATCATCAGTGTCATGGATTGTGTTGATTGATAACGCCATAAACTAGAACGTTGATGATAGTTGCAAGTAGCGACATGTTTCAAATCTGTTCCGCAAGTCGGAAATCCCCTGTTTTACGTCCCCCGTTGGATCGTTGGATCAACATGGATCAGCATGGATCAACCTGGACCGGCGGATTTAGATTATTCCATGATGGAATTTGTAACCGGCCCATGATTTCCGAATTGGAAAATCGAAAAAACATCCCATATTCAATCCCAATTGATATTGATTGAATATGTGGAATCCGTTTCTGCTCCACTTTCTGCATCGACCCTGGGTCCCACCCTTGGTCCTCAATCGCTTGCTGCAGCTTTTTATGCAACGTCCCTCCTTTGGTTGTATCTTCGGCATCAGCCAACAGCCGAACTAAAACCATGCCTGGGCAATGGTAAGGGCAATCTGGGACCGGGGAACTCCTCAGGAAAAGAAGGGAGTGTGTCGGATGGGTTTTCATGCTTGATATTACCAAATAAATACAAACAATGACCTCGGGCTCGTGATCGCGATGCTTTATGCTGCGCAAATTTTCCACGTGACCCTGTGCGAGTTTCACTTACCTTGTTCTGCCTCAAGATATTCCGACCACTCTGAAGGCAATCTTTTCTGGGCCACATGTTAATATACAGACCTTTGTTGGGGTTTACACCGATCCCCGACGTGTGGCCTGCCATGAAATGTTGGCTCAAAGTAGAGACGTGCGCTGCCAGCAGGTCCGATTTCTCCACAGTGATGGATTGCCTCGGGTTATGAAAAACAGCTGCGAGAATTTCGAAATGCAGCACGTAAATATATCCCATATGCTCCATGGTGCTGGAATATTTACCAACATTTACCCCATAAATCACCCAGTTTTGTAGGTAAATATACTATACATAAAGCGTTTGGGTATATATATATATATATGTCTGTGTAACATGCACACATGTTCACAATCAATCAAAAACATATACAATAATCGATTCTATATTCTATAACTCTTAAAGTTGCAGTCATACCATGTCATACATAATTTTAAAATAAAGAACCACAACATACCACTGAACCAGGGCAGGTCGTGTCACGACTTGACCCAGCTGCTCTGGAAATCGCAAGAGACAATCCAAAGCTTTCCGCCGGTCCTGGCGGACGCGACTCTGGTGATTGAAAGTGAATGGCCGAACTTTCCCAAATCGGTTTGCAGAACTCTATGTGTATTTAGAATTTATATAATATATATATAAATAACATTATATGTATATATATATAATTATATATAATATGATTCTATATATGAATAGATGTTCATATTTTATGCTTCCCCATTAAAAAATCAAGCTCCATTCCATGTTTGATTCTCTTTGCTTCGTTCAGATGGTACCTCTGATTTTGGCACTCTGGTGAACATCAAAGGTAGCCATGACTGAGCTGGTGGCTTCAGGGTGAGCAGTTTGGATGTTTTTTGGCCGTCTGTGTTCAACAGCTAGGGCCGCTAGGGGATGCTTCTTAGCCGCAACTTGAGTATTCCTCTAGCAATGGGAAGGCAAGCCTCTCCTACTTCCAGTCGCAAGGAAGAACTACTTTTAGGCGACTTCAGTTCTGTTGTATGGATCCCTTAACGTTGACCGAACACATGTCCATCTCTGGTTATTGCTCATGTCCCTAGATGTTCGTGCTTTGCCTATGATGCGGCAAAGCCAATTATAAGCCCAATTCCTTTCAGTTTTACTTCATCTGAAAAAGATCAGATTCTCGGATTTCGTCTTTTTTAGTCGATGCCAAGTAATTCGGTGTTGTTTTTCCAGAACGCTTCAGACGTGACTTCCATCTCCAGCAATCCCAGCCTGCACCACAGGGTCGTCTTGGTCCAACGTGCCGCTGAAGACTTTCAACAGGAAATCGTGCCTCAGCAACCGGGGAAGTTTCGGCAATCTGCGGTGATGAGTACAGCTGGACTTTACAGTTGTAGGATGGTCCCATCTACAGATGTGATGTGTATATATATATATACATATTATATATATAATATCTATAAATATAATAATATATGTCATGTAATATATATATATACACATCATATAATATATGCATACCATGGCATATGCGTAAGTTGTACATTTTTGTGCTCCTGAAATTTCCTTATTGGCTGCAAACTTCAGTTGAATCCTTCCGCCATGTCAGGGCACACCGCAGGAACTGTGCCGTGGAAGGCTTCGTGAGGCAAAATGAGAGAAGGCCCGCCACTGTTGGGCCTGGGGAGAGGCCATATTCATCAGCAATAGTGGCAATGAGGGGCACAACCCGCCAAAATTGGGAGGTCAACGGCATTATTCATGGACGGAAAGTGGATTGGGAGGTCAAACTTATGGTGGTTCAAAACTGAGCAAATTGAGGCTGAGGTGTTTAACCGCTGGGTGGAGTGGTGAACTCTATGTTTGGACCAACCCATGGTGGGGCTCATTTCATCCTGATACCTTTCTCTTCCGATACGAAACACGTTGGCAAAATATACTTGATGATCTGACGGTTATTCATACCCATCTTCATGTTCATGCACTGTTTCAGATGTGTCGTGTTGAACCTTCAGTACTACAACCTGGCTAGAAAAGCAAGCAGTACCAGGGGCTAGAAAAGCCAACGTTTGCAAATAACGTGTGCTTTATTCAAAAAGGTGTGCTTTTGGCCATTGCAATGTTTGACAATCAGGGAGCTACACGATGATTTGGATAGCCATCTTGTTTGATGGATCCCATGCCACAAGGAGGCTCTGAACTGCAGCTTCTTGGTGCAGTTCTATCACATTTTGCTCCCATTGCTCCTGAAATATGTTGAAATGTGTACCCCTCCCCATGTTTGACAACAAAACTCCTCCTCGTGCTTTCTCCCAGTGGATATTGGCTACGGTTTAATGGGCTATAGATATAGATATTTTATATTATGATATATTCTATTCTATCCCCATGTCATGCCACGTCAAAGCTGTTTGGCTCGTCCATCACGGTCACGGCCTGTTTTGCGCCCATCGCTCTTTGGATTGAGGACCAAAAGCTCTCCACAGTGCATCCTCCTGACAAACTCAGTCACTGCTGATCAAACTTGGAGACACCGATTTGTGAAAAAACAGTATATTACCAGAAACCAAGCGTATATGTGGTTCACAGGTAAAAAGCTTGAGTAATAAATGGAGAATAACATAGAGTAACTGAGTAACTATCTCCATGTATATCATGTATATATATATATATTCATAATAGTTCATAATATTTCATAATATAGCCACATATTTCATGAACAATAAGTAGGTTGACTCCAGGATGTATTCCAATGTGCACCTCGTCCTTGGAAGCTGCTGCATGTAGCAGCGACGCAACGCTGGCCTGGAATTGGCCAAGAAATGCAAGTGGAAGACTTACTGGTGCTGAATAGGGAATGGGGGAATGGGATGATTGTTGATAGTTAGTACGGATCATTCCCCCATTCCCTACTAAGCACCAATAAGAAGATCATGAGATCTTGGCGAACTTGTGAACATATTTGATTTAATCTGTACATATACAATTATATATATATATACACACACATTTTGCATAGGTGCGTCTGAAAATGTAGTATACCCCCGTCCAGTTTGATTTTAAGATGAACACATGTGAAAAAACTAGTGGATGGAATTGGAGTCACTATTTTCAGACCAAGCCATGTGTGTATATATAAATATATATTATAGTAAAACATGTCATTTGTAATCAACTGGAGATGGAAATGTTTGGAACCCACAGATAGGTGGCATATCCCACAAGAAAGCCCAGTTGGAGTTAATGGAAGACCTTGGCAGGGAGGTTGCCACAAAATCTCAAGAACTTGCTCGGATAGAGGTGAGTTGCATCTGGTTATTGGATACAGATACTATCAGTTCTCATCAATTCAGGGTGCCAGTTTATCTGGCGGCCTGCGGCAACTTCAGAATTATATAGATCTTTGGTAAAGATTCCAAGTCATCATAGTACGACGTAGTGAAGAGCCATCTATGTGCAAATATAATATAGCAGAAATTCCAAAAACAAATTGTTTCCAAGAAACGATATGTAAACGCAGGCCGAACATATCCAAACATCAACTACGTGGGTTCCCAGACTTGGAACTTTGCTATAAACGGGCGCGAAAGGGTCCCTTATCGTCCCTTGCGTTTCCTCCATGTCACCTTTTGGTGGGCATCAACCAAGACCAAGATTTCCCGATCCAAAATAAAAACATGTAACAATCAAAATCTCCATCCTTGTTGGTTGTATCCCTATGTTTGGTGCTGAACTTCTCGTTGTACATGTCCCATTTTCGGAGAACATCTCCGCCCGAAACCAAACACGTCTGAAAAACAAACGCAGTCACATAACCATTCAATTCATAGTGTTCCACCAAATAAAACATGTTCAATCTTGAAAGAAACACAACCCCCCCCCCCAAAAAAAAAAATGTGGAAATCTCAGCAGAATCACCGGAAAAAAAAAACACGCCTCCATGGCCGGGAACTTATTCTCCTCCGGTGACGGGTCTGAAACCTCGTCCTAACATCGGTAGCAGCCGGGAGGTTTCAACAAAGATGTGAGTTTAACATGAATCATTACATAAGATCAACAAAATGTTGAAACCAATGTCAACTTAACACATATATACACATATAATATGTTTTAACCAACCTTATCCAGTGTCCAATGTTAAGCCTTAAGAAGACATGTTCAAACACAAGGATCTTCATCTCCAAAATGTTGGAATTTGAGCAACACATATGGGGACTTCAGCATCCAAACGGCCCAGCAAAAGTTTGCATCACGGTGTTTGTATACCCAAACCCTCAATTTTACCTGTGGCAATGCGCCAACAGCATTTGTATCCGGTATATACAATATATATACAACTATGCAGAGAAACACATGGCTTTGTCTCAGCTGTTTTCCAGGGAAAAGCCGTTTCACAAAAATCCCATGGTTTCAAATCTCGATTTCCCCATGAAAATGGCCGTTTCACCCAGTGGTAAATCTCCACCAGGTCACCCAGGTCAGCCCAGGTCGCCTCGGAAGCTTCCAATTCCTCCACCATGCTCGCGATCACCTGTTGACCTGTCCCCAGGATGGGAGTTGGGGATCACATCTTTCTATAATCCATATGTGAACCATGGTGCTGGAATATGAATCCAAACATTTACCCCATAAATCACCCAGTTTTGTAGGTAAATATATGTAAATATACCAGCACCATGGAGCATTTGGGTAATGAACCCATGCCGAAAAATTCCTGACTTCGTCTTGGATCCATTCATTTTGGGGTCCTGTAGTGTTTTCTTACAATATTTGGAGGATGGGATTACTCAATCCAAATATTGTAAAAAACCGCATATATATCCAATATTTTTTACAATCTTTGTAATAATCTGATTGTTCAATTCGTATCCAAGTTGTGTGGGTTGACACAAGAGTACATCGATCACCTGAAATTGGCTAAAGCTAAGATCTGACACTGAAACCACTCTATATATATATATATATAAATGTGTGTCCCAAAACTAACTAGTTTGAAGTCACAGCAGATGCAATGTAACCAGTGAATTTTGATGGTTCATCCTCCCATCCTAAACCTTTCAACACCTCCATCGCATGGCCGCCGGCCCCAAAGATTTGTGCCCGCCAGCTAGGTGTGTCGCTTTATAACCTTCATTAACCATATATCGATAAACAATAGAATTTGCCTATACTATCCTATACTTGTAATAATTTAATTAACTAACTAAAGCCCATACAAATCCCATAAAGTCCCGTTCAACCAGCATTTTTGCTGGTATGCCCCTGCGCACCGTTTCCAGCCTGGCCTGCTGTCCCTTGTCCATTGAAAGTTCGGTCCCTGCTCTTCCGCCTCGAGCGAAGTATTGAATTCATCTTTTTGAACATGTTGAATCCCAAATCCGACCAGCCATGTATCATGTACTGTATAAATCGATCATTATATAAGCCAACATTATATATATATACATTATATATATATTGTAGACAGTATATATATATACACAGTATATATATACACAGTATATATATACACAGTATATATATATATACAGTGTGTATATATATACAGTGTATATAAATATATATACACTGTATATACATATTCTATCGTGATGAAATGATGAAAAAAAACATAAAGTTTGCCATACTGGAACGTTGATGCCCACTGGCGCCGCAGGAGCCTTTTCACGGAGACCTTGGAAATGTACTCCACAAAGTCGGGAAAGGAAATGCTCTGCTTGCCTCCAGTCCCGTACACTGAACTCACGATCAGTCCTGACATCTTCCGATTGACTAGGGATTTATAATCTGTTAGTGGGATATGATGGGAAATATCAGCAGCATTCATGATATTTGGGTGTGTAATGCGTCTCATCCCCAGCACCGGAAGCCTCCAGCGATTTCATCCATGACTTCGTCCACCGTTTGGCCGTTGGGCAAAACCTCCACCAAGGGTCCTTCTCCTGTGCGATGCATGGCTTTCTAGTTTCAAAATAGTCAGAGGAGTCCGAAAAACACTTTCCAATTCAACGAATTTCTGATTCTTGGACCAGTTACATGGGTCCCATGTAGATGGTATCTTATTGATAGGCATAAGGGCATATGGGGATCAACCGTATTGAATTGAGTAATGGTGATGTTGATGGGGGTCACTGATGTGGGGACCCCATGGGACCCCCAAACCCGCAAACTACAATCAATGACTCTCAAAAATTGGCGTTAGGTAAAACCATCATGGTGATTTTTGATTAGTTACTCATCCAATCCGTTTTTGCTGAACAAACATCACTGGGTCGGTCCGCGAAACCATGCTGTGCCTTTGCCCAAATAAATGAGTAATATGCGGTTCCTTTATATGTTCTCATCCAACTGTGGGAAAATACGTTGCTTGCATGCTTATCCACCTGGGTTTGTCTCGAAATAAGGCATAGGCACCCAAAATACATTGGTCAATCGCAATTCGTCTTATTAGATCGCCACAATTGGGAGTATAGCGGGTCTGCATGGTGAATAGGGAAGCCCGCGAAATTTGAGGCTTTATCACCATTTTCCCTCTTAAAACTGATATTCTGGTTGATGGTTTCAACCCCCTCTGAAAAAATATTAGTCAAATGGGAGTATTATTCCCAATATATGGAAAAAAATGTTCCAAACCACCGACCAGTATTGGGTGTATATCCCGAAAATAAACCATCCCATTAACCATGTACGGGTCATTTTACATCCTGTCATTTCTAAGGGTATACTATACCCAATTTCATAAACCTCAAACTTGGGGATGGCTTATGATTGGCTTTGCCACATTATAAAACCACATGTCTCCAATAAAATTTATCATGGTTCTCCAACCGAAAAATAAGGTCCAACTTGGGGATAGTTACGCCTGCAAACCATCAGTACAGTGAGGTTGCAGCCTCCCCAAGGGCATCGCACCTGAGAGCATTACCCTAAGCTCGGATAAGGAGATCTGACCGTCCCCATCCACGTCGAAGACGTCAAAAGCTTCCTGACATGGGATTTTTTTTGGTGGTTTCATGGTTTTACAAGAGGACTTCAATGGGAATTGATGGGGGTTCAATGGTGTTTAAGCATCAACAAATGGGAATCCGCTGGGGAGATTTGATGCAAGTATAGTGAGTGTCCGGGCGCATCGCTATCATTCTCAAACTTTTGTGTTGTTTCATATCGTTTTTTGAGAGCCGTATCCCAATTCTTGATGGCTTGATGGTTGAACATGTTAATTATGACAGTCTGACATTGATGGAATGGCTTCAAGATTGTCCTGATGGATAGATGATAGTAACTTAGTAGATGTTTCATCAACGGCTACGTAGCACATGTGTTTCAACACAGCCACCTTGGGGCGCTAAAAACTGCCGGACCTGGATGAGGGACTCGGGGACAGACTCCAGTCCAGTGGACAGCACCTCCAGGACTGGGCGAACGGGAAAAGTAACAAAACATCATTTCTGGTTGGTGGTTTCAACCCCTCTGCAAAAAATAAAAAGTCACTTAGACAGTCAGTTGGGATGATGAAATTCCCAATATAACAATTCTCAAATGTTCCAAACCAACCAGATTAGAGTTTATCCCTTGATCCTGGCCCAAGTTTTTTTTAGGAAGTAGTGGTTTATATATGTTTATATGGATTTATGATACATTGAAACATGAATTCAAAGTAAATGATGGAGTTCTTTCGCCCATCATTCTTGACAATGGCCAGGTCGATGGATTGGCTTTGTTGACATTTGTTTCATGCTAAAAATCATGCAACATCAACCGTTCAACCGGAAAAAACAACTGGGAATCTCGGTCAACTCAGTTGATCCCAAAATGATCAAAATAGATATACTACTTGGATATACTTGGATATACTTGGAATATCAAGATTATCCCAAGAGATATATCCAAGTATATTCACAAAGAGATGCTACTTGGATATACTTGGATGATCTTGGATGTGCATCGCAGCAATCCCCGACATCAAAAAATGTGTTTTTGCACCCGAAAAATATATATGGGGTTTTAGTAAAATCTAAATCTCTAGTCTCATGTCTAGGACAACCCAGGGGCGGCAGTAAGTAGTCATAGTTTGCCCTGCTTGTTGTAGCTGCTGTCAGTTCTGAAGCCGATTACACTGGGACGTAGGAAAGTATAAGTATGTAGTAGGGACACACTCTTTCACCCATGTGCTTCATGCATCGTATCCTTGCCAACATGGACCCAGAAATGGAAAAACATATAAGGAAACAATACATATACCAAACATATCCGGCGCTGTACCCTCAATCCAACAGCATCACTCGATGATGATCTCAGCCCAGGCGCAGCAGCTAAGAACTCCGTGTACCTCAACGTTGCCAACGCCAGCGGACAGTGATCAAAGGGGTCGCTGTAACTGCTCAGAATGAATATGACTCATATGACACCTTCTATGATTACGGGTGAATCAGCCATCAAGGCCTGCAACACATTTTCATAATATATATTTTGCAATTCAAATGGTAGGGAAATACAGTAGTTCGTGCGCCCGGTCCCTCAGCAGGGCACGAAATGCGTCCATTCTGGTCCATGTCCAAGATAGACATCAGGCGTTGTGGGTCCTGGCACATATGGATGTGTAGAGCAATGAGGCCCCACAGTAGGTTTTCAACAGGGTCGGAATCCCAATCAACTCCTAGGATCCTTGCTTGGCAATACCCCAGTTGTGTGTTTGGGTATAGTTTATCTTATCCCATCTCCATCTATGCTTACAGGTGAAATTGTGTGTATGACTCCTAAGATGCAATCAGTTGTTCATATGCTCAAAATCTTATGGTTGATTGATTATCATGTTCCATTGAAATTGAAAAAATGAAGTGAATTGCCGATTTTGAGGACAGACCCATATCTCATTGAAAGTCTCAACCTGGTCGAAAAATACCCTCATCAATTGCGATCACCCCAGGAAAATACTCAACACATGAAATATGTTGCAACAACCAAGCAGTTTTAATATGTATACAGCCATCATTATACATTCTTATGGGTTTGATGGTCTCGCCACTTTTGATGTTGCAGCTCGTTTTGGCCACTCTGCCTCCACGTCACGGGCTCGAGCTTTGAAACAAAATCTATTTCGACCGGTCAGGGAACGCTTCGCCGGTCAATCCGATCACAGGTGAACCCGGAGATCATCGAAGCGGTCGCACCTGTGGATGTTTCATCCTCGGTCCATCAAAACTCACTTGGTCAGCTCCTTCAACCTCAGAGCTGAAGGGATCAGTCATTTAGAAAAAAAATGTAGATTCCCCACTAACCGCAGGAACATGCAAAATACGCCGTATGTAATATATATATATATATATATATTTATATAATATATTTACATACATATACGCATTGTATATATATATAATTATATATATATTATACAATTATATACATATCCTCCGGCAATCAAACTTGGCAACTGGATAGCCTTTAAAGCGAGGATTCTAGCTGGCAAATTATCCATAAATTGGGAATTGCCCATGTTTCATTACCGGAGGGTATACATATACATACATATACATTACATATACGGTATCCACATTGATAACTAATCACTATTAATAATAATTAATCACCAAATTAGTTACCATTAATCACTGTTCATCATCATTAGTTACCGCGAATCACTATTATATATCCAGTGGATAGTTGATGCATATGTTTACAGGTCCAGGCAACTCACCAGGTGTAGGGCATGGCTTGAACTTTTCGTTTGTTCCGAAGGTGTACTTGCAGGCCGCTTTGCCCGCCACACGACCGAAAACAACGCAATCCTTGGAAACAAACACAAGAAAGCAACACAAACGAAAAAATTGAGGGATTGCCAAAATCATTGGGCATGGTGGCAATCCCCAAAGAACAAAACTTGTTGGTTTTTATGTATATATACTTGAAAATAACACTGGGCAAGTCCCGGTTCGGAAAACCAAAAGCAACGGATCCAGCAATCGGAGTGAAATTAAGAACAACAACTTAAAGCCCAGGATCCAGCAAGGAATTGCCACCCAAGCGGTTGTTGCCATGGATACCGCCCGCAGCCTCTCCTGCCACATAGAGACCTGGGATAACCTTTCCGCTCTTGTCGATGCACTCAGCATCAACGGTGCATTCCAGGCCACCCATGCAGTAGTGGATCACTGGAGTAATGATGGCAACCTGGAAATCTCGACAGACTTTTTGGACTTTGGGCAATGAAATTGTTATAAGTGTAGTGTTGTCATTGGATAATTTTCGCTATGCATGTATAAAACTACGGTATAAAACGCTAAGATTTTAAAGGAATTTAAAATATTTAATGATATTCTAATCCTAAATATCATTTGTTTTTCGTGCTGTCGTGTATCATTATTAGAATGGCAGTTGTCCTGCGTTATCCTTTTTTCCCACCTGCTAGGTGAGAGTCTCTAGATTTAAACCAAAGATCCTGGTTTTCTCCTCTTCTTCCTCCTCCTTTGTCCTTTTCCTTGTCCTTCTCCTCGCCGGCTTCTCGCCAGCATGTCATCGCCAGCTTGTGTGCCACAGCCTTCTCCACACAGTTGCTCTAACTGCTCTTTGGGCAACCGAAATCAGCGTGCTGCCGCCAGAAGCAGGTTGCGGGGTGGAAATCCAGTCTTTTTTCTCCTTCACTCTGCTGACAAAATTCAAACTCACCCCTTGCAGTCCCAAAATGGAACCTGCGACAGCTTTGCTTTTGGAAATCCCCGCCCTTTGTACATTCATAGCGCCAAGCCAAGTCATGATTCCGCTTTTTCACTTCAAGTTTGCCGAGCTGTAGCATTGCCCGGCGGGCTCAGACGACAAGGCAGGCGGGAAGTGAAGGCTAGTGCCTTCAGCAGCCGCCAACTGTTGTAGCCTATACTCTTGAACTTTTGACCTACCATCTTCAAAATTGCATGAGTGGGTGCAAGCTTCACTTTTGTTACACTTCCAGCCATTTTGCAAGGACAAGCATTTGTAGGTTTCACCTTCCTCACCATTTCTGCGTCTGCATCTGCGTTGGCGAATCATGGGCCAAGTGGAAGCCGAGAGGTGCCGGCCATTGTTTTCCAGAAGCTTGACTTTGCGACCTGCTGCAGCGAAATTGAGCATGCCAACTCTATTCTTGTGAGCCGAAGCAGGGGTACCCGGTTGTCGCTAAGGAAGCTTGGCCCAGTCCTCAGCGGAGCAATATCACGGTGATGCAACTCACGGTGACGGCTCTTTTCGTCAGAACTGATAGTCAAGGAGGCAAGCTGGCGCCGGATCAAGGCTCGGAGCTATTTGGATACGATCTCTGACAAGGAAACTGGTGTGTGCTATTTCATTGGTGCTACAACTTCCCGAAGCAAATCTTGAAGCCGCTGAAGCCGTTGACTTTTTGTTCGGGAGTAGTCCAATGGCAAACATTTGTACGTAGAGAATCTGACAAACACACAGGCAATAATGATTGCAGATGATTGAGATGATGCTGGTAATACTACTCATTGTCATCTAAATTTTCTCCATGAAAAATCATTGCCATTGTCTCGTGATAACTTCCAAGAACTATAACAGACTGAGTGCTACCAACGCGCCAGCAGCATGCTACTACCCTGGGCTCATAGCACGAATATGGGGTTGTCGAATCGGGTCATTGGGTCCTCTGAGCTCCAACCGGAACTCTATGGTGAGCCTTAGATAGAATGCCAAACAAAATGTCAGATAGAATGCCAGATGAAAAGTCAAACGGCATGTCAGAAGTATGTCACATAGAATGCCAGACAAAATATCAGATAGAGAATGCCAGGTGACATGTTAGATAGAATGTCAAATTATATGGCGGATAGAATGCCTTATGAACTTCAAGTAAAACGCCAGATATATACAATGCCAGATAAAATGGCAGATAGAATTATTTCAAATATATGTGAGATGAAATGTCTGACAGAATGACGGACCATAAGCTGTCAGGAAATATATATATATATGCCAGATTGATAAAATGTCAGGATACACGCCACGTTGGGGGTCAAACAAAGCAAAGCAAATTACAAACACAACAGTACATATTCACAACCTAATAATTTTTGGGCAAAGTCCCTGAGAATCATCGATTAAAGCGATTGCCCCAAGGTCACCCCAACAATGCACATTTGGATGTTCATGTCGAATACACAGACACTACATGAGATGACCAACAACGAGAACTTGTATGGGCCTACGGGGTTTAAATCTGCATCCATCTACCGGACGCCAAAATGTTAAATGCAACTCCGGCAGCATCAGTGCTGAAGATTGATTGCCTTTTTGTCTGTTTCCCCCATAGGTCCCTCATGACACCGCAAGCATGAAATACAAGCGATCAAGTATATGAAGTATGTTATATAAAGAGTTCTCGAGTTTCCCAAGTGGCGGCTCAGGATGTTTCAGCTGCAGCCTTCCACAATGGTGGTTTCCTAAAATGGGTTTACCACCAAATCATTCATTGTAATAGAATTTTCCATTTTAAACCATAATGAAACAGTTGGGCCCCCTGTCGCTTCAGCGATTTCTGCCAAGGAGCATAGAATGGCTCAGTGGCCACCTTGGATCCATCCTTAGCCGTCAGAAAGAACTTAGTTGCTGCGTGCTGGACCACGACACTGCATTAACCTCACCCGCTCTTGCAAAAAGTAACAAACAAATATCTTATATTCTCGGATAAACCCAATATCTTTAAGCTGAATTAACAGAGCTTTGGCATGCAAAACTGATGGTGAACAGCCACTTACCAGCTATGTTTCATGCAAGTGTTCCAAAGTTTTGATCTGCAGCCGTGGATCAAAATTTGAGGGCCAACCTTCCATGCTGGTCATTGTTTCCAATTTATCAAACCATACGTTTTTGTCCCGGAGGGGGGGGGGGCATCCCATGTTTTCAGCGGGAAATCCATGTAAAAACGCACCAAGTCTCCACAGCTTATGGCTATGATTTACCGATTGGCTTGGAGCAACCAAGATTCTGATGTGTATATTTAGATATGAATGATCTATTTAATGGCTATATATTGTAAATAGACATATGATTATGATAGCCACCCTGGTATTTATCATATGTCATGTTTATACTCGATATATATATATACAGCATATATATATATATATTTATATTTATTTGTTTGAAATGAAATAGATTATAGCAATTCACGAACCTAAATTGAGGTCATGTTTCCTAACCACCATTCCAGTGAGTTCGCAGTAAGTCGTTATAATTTACCCTGATAAGTAAATCAATTAAACAAAACATACATGTGTCTAGGTATATTGAATATTATTCGTATGTGCATATTAAAGACTTATATTATATATATGTATGTATGTTACATATATATATGGAATTTATATATATATATGTATGTATATATGTAATATATATATATGTAATTAATATATATATATATATATACGGCCAGGCCCCTTGTGTTGCCCGGAGATTTACAGGGACGTTCCCGGCATGTTGATGATGATGATGATGGTGATGATGATGATGATGATGATTGAAGATCTTCAATGAATGTAAGAGGTTAACGGAGTTGGGGGAATTAAACCCTTATTGAAGATCTTCAATGAATGTA